GCGCGTGCAGGGCGCCGGCCTGGAGGGCACCGGCGACGCCGTGGGCCCCGAGGGCGTGCAGGGCCTGGCCCAGCTCCTGGCCCAGCTGGGCAGCTCGGTCCGCGGAGACCTGCAAAAGGTGCGGCAGGAGGTGCAGCCCGCGTACCCGGCCGGCCTACCCGTGTGGGAGGCCTACCTGCGCGCCTTCCACAGCGCCGTGGCGCAGCGCCTGCAGGGCCTGGCCCGCCGCGCCCGCGGCTGCGAGCAGCTCTACCTGCTGCTGGACTGGGCGGCCAACGTGTACGGCAGGTGAGGCCCGAGCCCGGGACGACCTGTCCGGGGCCTCTCCCTGCCGGAGGCCTGCTGAGGGGCCGACACCCCGGGCTTCCTGGTCTTTCCTGTGCTGGGGGGTGTGTGTATGCATGATCCCTACCTCAGTTTCCAGCTCTCCCCAGGGAGGTTCCCCCCAGAGCCAGGAGCCTATTAGAGAGCCACTCAAGTCCACAGGGTGTCACTGTAGACCTCTGGCCCAGGCCGGAGGGGCACCGGCTGGCACTCGCCTCTCTGGATTGGAATCTGCGCCTGGCGCCCCGCCTGCCCACCCCCCACCTCTGCCTCTGTGCTTTGTGCTGGGGCTGGCCTCCGTGTAGGGCTCCCTGGTGAGGTCTGGGGGGGGGCTGGCCTCCATGTAGGGCTCCCTGGTGAGGTCTGTGGGGTGGCCTCTGTGTAGGGTTCCCTGGTGAGGTCTGGGGGGGTCTCCGTGTTGGGCTCCCTGGTGAGGTCTGGACGGCCTCCATGTTGGGCTCCCTGGTGAGGTCTGGGGCTCCCTGGGTGAGGTCTGGGCGCTGGCCTGCGCGGCACAGGAGGAGTCCTTAGAATCCAGTCTTGGGGCTGGAGGGGCTGTGCCCCCTTCCTGGAGGGCAGGAGGTGCAGTGTGCCCATGGAAACCCGGGTTGAGGGACCCCAGCCCCGTGGGGGGCCGGCCCTTAGCACCCTACCCCCTGCTTTGCAGCCCCGACTTCCTGGGCACCCCAGACTTGGCGCTGCCCGCGGAGCCGCTGCCCCCGCTCCTAGCGCCCGAGGTGTGGGCGCGGCTGGAGAGCGACTACACCAGCTTCCTGGAGGTGCGGCCGGGCCGGCCGAGGGGCCGGAGGTGGGGGGGAGGGCGAGGGG